AGGCAGAACAATTTGACCAATCAGATGAAGGGGGCGTTTCAGCGCCGCCCACGTGTGCGAATGAAATACCGAAACCATTTGTAAACCACAGACGAAACATGAGAAATCGAGCCGAAATCTCATTTCCGTTTGTTAAGCTAAACGAATAAACGAGCCGTATTTTCATTTCTCGTTTATCCATTCCAAATAGGAAATGAAATGATCAAAACGTACACGGACCATAATGCCTAATCATAAGCTTGTTCAGAAATGGTGACAAAAACTTGATTATTAAAAAATAATGTCTATCTCGTTAAATGTCATTTAAATAAATAAATATTTGAATATATTTTTTATGTGCCCAAATATTCGAATACAATATTTTTAGAAAAATACCCATCCCTAATTAACAGCCTAAATATACAACGTTAAATTTCAGCCCCTAAAAATGAAATCCCTGAGAATACAATGCATTAAAATGCAAGCACTGTTAATGCAGTGCAATGTTTCTTTTTTCCCCTTTCAATTAGTGCAGTTCAGCACCCTTTTTTTTCAAAGACATTTGTCATTATTTTACCTCTATAGAAGCTATTGAAATATTGGATTTATTGGTGAAAAGATGAAGGGAAAGGTGTTTTCACGTTTTGTGGTCTTTGGAGTTAAACAGGCTTTTTTTCAGTGTTATCACAATAACTGACCTTTAACCTCATGAACTGAAATATTCATGTTCTATTTTTTTACCTTTAATTAATTATAGATTTATTAGTTTCTTTATGATCACCATAGGTTTAGTATAAGTGTAAATGTGGACAGTCATTTGTGTACATTTCCAGGGCTCAGATTCACATGTAAAGATTTCATAGTGGGCCATTTTTGCAGTTTAGTTGTAATAAATGCTTCTGTTGAACTGCAGAGTAGGAGGATTTGATTTCTAAACCATACAGTATAGTTATCTTGGAAACTCAATGAAAATTCCAGTGGTATTTTTGATTTTTTTTGTCCCTTTTCTGGTAAGTAGTGAGTATAGTTCAAATTCTGCATGGTATAATAATAAGAATTCTATGTGAATGTGAACATAATTAAACATTCCCAAAGTTTTATGTTTCAAGGTTCACTGTAATGCTAACCCCTTTATAAATTAGTGTGAAACATTATTTTACCAAGGTTTAAAAGCAGGCCTAAAAAGCCTTAGTGCAGGGTGTAAATGCTCATTTCTGCTGGACTCTGAACTACATGTATAAACTGCGCTCAAACCTGCAGCCGGGCAGATAAAGGAGAAATTCTCTAGATTGATCTGTCATTTTCCACCTTATTGCAATATGTAGTAAAACAAAAACAGATTGAAGTTTGCTTTAATGTTCTGAAACAGATATTTGAAAATTTTACTGTTGACCGTATCATGGAATCATATCTGAACTTGAACTAGTGACCACTGCTGTGGCTTGGCATGTAAATAGTAACAGATGCTGACCAGTCTAGAGGAGAAAAAAACAAACACTGAATCAATAGTTGTATGCAATGGAGGTTTACATTTTATTAGTATTATTATTATTATTTTTTTTTTTTTAAAGAAAAAAGTTGTTTGACCATTTTAATGTTTTGTTTAAATAAATGTATTAACCTAAATTTGTACTTTTCCGGTTACTGTAACCATTTGTGACCACAAAACCAGTCATAATGGTACATTTTTTGAAATTGAGATGTATACATCTGAATAAATAAGCTTTCCATTGATGTGTGGTTTGTTAGGATAGGACAATATTTGGCCGAGATACAACTATTTGAAAATCTGGAATCTGAGGGTGCAAAAAATCTAAATATTGAGAAAATTGCCTTTAAAGTTGTCCAAAAGTCCTTAGCAATGCATATTACTAATCAAAAATTAGTGAAAAAATCGGTCAAAAATCTAAAGTTTTGATATATCATAGGATATGTACAAAATATCTTCATGGAACATTACTTACTTAATATGCTAATCATTTTTGGCTTAAAAGAAAAATCTATATTTTTGACCCATGCAATGTTTTGTTGGCTATCGCTACAAATATACCCGTGCGACTTAATACTGGTTTTGTGGTCCAGGGTCACATTTATTCAACAAAAATATGCTTTGGAAAATGGACCCTAGTGGTGGGAAACAAAAAGGAAGAGGAGGGGGAAAGATGTAGTCTGTAATTGACCATCAGAGACGTTGGCCAACATGATCATCTACTACAGGGTTGTTGTTCTACTGCTTACATATAGTATAATTACAGTACACAGTAGCAGTACTTTAGAGAAGAAACTTTAGATTTGTAGTCAAGTACTTATTGTACTGTATTTTTATTTTTTTTACAGAACTGAGAGACAACTGTCTCTTGTCAGAAGACAAAGAAACTACTATAGTATTGCAAAATAAAATAAAAAAGGGCATTACCAACAGTAATGCACTTTGGCAGAGGATGTTTTATTTATTTTAACTGTACAGTATACTGTATTGTGTATTCATATTCAATTCGTTGGCATTTGAACTTTTCTAGTGCTTTTAATCTACTGCACAATCTCTTTACAGTAGTGTAATTAAAGTAAACTTTTGCTGTATCTGCACCCCTTTATGTTATAAACTATAATGGACATTGACTTGCAAAATGATTCCTGATTCCCATAAGGGGGTTTTTGTAACAGTATTTTGAATGGAAGTCTGAGATTTATACAAGTTGAAATTGTGTTTATATTTGTGAGAAAATAGTGCATTGTTTCAAGAATTGTTAGCAGTCAAGAAAAACTGTGACCTGTACTTTTACTGTGGTCCAATCTTTCTTGCACACTGAGTGCCATTGTTCAGATCACACAAGAAGGTTACTAATTTTTATTTTCAGCACTTTACTCCTCGTCTACATCTGGTGCACCATGCTGCAACCTGCAAAGGTATGCACAAAACAACAAAAAAGGCATTAAACAATGTTTCACTTGTAGTCATATCTTATTGAATAATATTTGAAGCCAAAAAGTGGAGAGTGTGTGACCACCATAATGATGTATTCCTTCTGGACATAATAAATTCTGCATGTCAAAACATACTTTACATACATCAGCAAAACAAAACATACATCAGCTTCAAATGTTTTTTTTTCTTCATACCATTCATTCAGGTGTATGACTGTTCTATTCATGTGTTGTGAAGGAAAAAAAAAATCCAAGATTCTTCAGAAAAAAACAAACAAAAAAACCTTATGGTTGGGCATTTAATGTTTAAAGTCAGAGTAATGAGTGACAATGTGTTTTTATGTATGAAGTGCTCATAGAATTTTGGAAGAGAATTACTGTTTTGGAAAAGAATGTTGTGGGAAGAGGTTTTTGTTGGATACAAAATAAAACACAGCAAACACATTTTTTGCAATATTTAATTTTTTTGTCTGAAATTACAGCAATATATCCATAAATACCTAATTACTACACTCAACAAAGAATATATTACATTACAATGAATTCAAACAAGTACATAAAAAAAAAGAAAAGAAAAGAAAAACAAACAAAAAACCCCCATGGTTTCACAGCATCTAATATCCTCCATTATGTTTGGGTGTGACTGTGTGTGTGCATTGGGCAGGTGTGTATATGCTCTCATCAGGCAGTGGTAGTGCTTCATGTGAAGCAGGTACACACACACACACACACACACACACACACAAAGTGATCACACTGATGGCACGCCTGCTCGGGGTCAGCATAGCCTAAATAAATGGCAAGCAAACTCCTCACCTGTGCTTCAAAGATGCATTTGAGAAACCTGTGTTTTACCCTTGCACTAAATTCTGATCAAAAAATGGTGTGTGCGGTCTGTCTATAACTGCATGCTGTATGTGGTGCTGCATACACGAGATACATGTGATGTGCAGCACAAGTGATGGAGGTTGGGTTAAGTGGCAGGAAAACAAACAGGTGTGTCATTCCCAGATTCTACATCATCTAAGAGAATAATATAAAAAGGTAGAAAATTAAAGATATTACAGGCAGTCAAGAGTTCATTTAAGGCCCATATTAATGCTTTTGTCAATGACTCATGATCATGTTAAAATGCATCATTCATAAGCAATGGATATAAAAAAAATAAAATCTTGGCAAACAAGAACGTCTTCGGGCAAAGCAGTTTTTTTGGGGGGACTTTTGCAATTTTCCAATTAACTCTCAGCAGGACTGACTTAATTCTTCAACTTGATCAAGCTTTGCTTTCAACATTTTGGCATGCCACCTCTGAAAATTTGGCACAGTAATTGTCAATGGCAAAAATGTTTTGTATATCAAACAAATTATAATTCTTATTGTACAACAACATTTATGGATTTAATTTTTGTGCATGTCAGTTCATCGCTTGAGCCCTCTGTGCACACAGGTGAGATATAGATTTCAGAATATCACATTCTAGTAAAAAACGCACTTTAATTGAATGAAACAGAAATCCAAAAAGAGGCTGCATGCTGCTTCATGATAAAAAAAAAGACAGCTCCGTTTAGCAGTCTGGAACTTTGTGAGACGAGTGACCACTAACCAATAATAAAAGATAGTAGACGTCCTGGGTCCTACAATTTCAGTGGATATGTCATCAGAATGCAGGGCTCAAGTTATCCTGTAAAGCATGGCCTTGAGGGAAAAACGTTGGCGGTATGTCCTGGGGCCATTGCTACTGTAGTTCAGGCAAAAAGGAAGTGATATTATCACTCCACAAGTCCTGAAAGGGTTATTCTGACCAGCAGCAGAGCAAACACTAAAAGTAAACCTTTTAACGCCCAAAAGCATCAATATATTAGAAAAAAATGGCAGGCTTTTTTTTTTTCTTCCAAAGAATTAAAAACATACAAAATTCTTTTTCCGTTGTTTTGAAATTATTTACAATACAATGCTGAAGCACCTCTTTAAAAAATGTTATTCTAAATCTTGAAATAAAAAATTTTCCTTTATTTATTTGATGTTTTTTCCCTTCCCTAGATCATAAAGAGTAGTCTGTCATAACACAGTACCTCCAGATAGTTCTTCAGGTTTTTTTGTCTTTAAGTGCATTTCTAGGCGTGACCTCCATGGTAAAGAGATGGCAGATGGGCTGAGCTGCATTTCGACTGGCATTCTTCTCTCTACGATGCAGTATGGCTGTCCCTGCGAGCTGGAGGCATTCAGAGGCTTTGACGTGTTCATGCGTGATTTTGCCCACAGGATGGCATCACAAGGGATGGCAAATTTGTGGGCCAGATGTTCTGTTTCTCACCATCACTATCCAGGCTCTCGGAGTGGCCTGAACATGGGTCTGGGTTTGGGGGTTTGTAAGGGATGTGGGAGGTTGTTTGAGTGGTTGGTCGGTGTCACCTGGGTGGATAGCCCTTGAAGTGACTCCTAGACCAGGGGCTCTGTGGCAGCATCAGGCACTTCTTAAAGTACTCCAGCTCTGCCTGTAGGTTCTCCCTCTCAGCCGCAAGCTTCTGCTTCTGAGCCATCAGCTCCTACAGAAAAAATGCACACGTTACCTATGAAACATCATCTGGGGAGGACCAGGTACCTGTTCAGATAGGATGTCTGACATGATCTGGCGTCCAGGCTGGATCTAATATTTATGGCGTGGAGGCATGACCCCGACATATGTGTATGTTCACTCAACAGTATTTGTGCACCGCACTTAGCATTCCCATGAAAGTGATGTAGAGTGATATGAAATAAGAGGACAGTAATTCAACAAACTGTAAACACAAGCGGTTATACAGTCGAACCAAAAATTATTCAGACACCAGATATAATTTTTTATATATTTTTTTACTAGTGGGTGCAGGAAACTATAGTTCCTTTATGTAAGTGAGGATTGCAAAATAAAGAAACTGACATACCCAAAAATTCTTCATACAGTGGACTACCAGTAAAATTGACACAAAATTTGCGGCCAAAAAAGGGTGCAGGAAACTATAGTTCCTTTATGTAAGTGAGGATTGCAAAATAAAGAAACTGACATACCCAAAAATTCTTCATACAGTGGACTACCAGTAAAATTGATACAAAATTTGCGGCCAAAAATTATTCAGACACTTTGACCTGACCGAGTTTTGCGTAAACGTTTTTTCTTTAATTGCTAATGCAACCTTTCTACACCACAGACTGAACAAAATTAAGCATTGCTTGGTAATTGGTTGACCTAAATTGATATCATCTAATTGTGTACAGCTGACAGCTATTCAACCTAATTCATTACATACCTTTCTATCAAAGTTATCTGACATTATCAAGATGAATTTGTTCTGACACTGTTTAACTCTGAGTTCTTGTCATATTTTATTACAATTTTCTAAACTATAGTGAATAAACTGTGATAATGTGAGAAATGTTGAAGGTGTCTGAATAAATGTTGGTTTGACTGTAGGAGACACATCTGAAATGCACGTTAAAATAGAAACAGTAATGCGTCTTGCCTGACCATTGAAAATACATCTTAATATCAGGTAGAAATGGAGTCTAAAAGAAGTTAGCATTTGTGTGTTTCTTACCCCCATTGAGTGTGAGAGCTGTTCAGCAGTTAGACTGAGATTATAGTGATGCACTTCCAGCCGTCTGCACTGACTGTGGAGAACTTGTCGCTCAATGCTTTGCTCTAGAGTCAAACAGAGAGAAAGAGAGAGGGAGCGGTAAGACTCCTCAGGTCCTCCCTCTTACATTCAAGAAACCCCTGGCATCACATACACCAACACACCACAACTTAAGGATTTGCAGAGCTACTCTTCTGTTGACCAGAACTATGATATCCTTCATGCAACAGTACTGATAGGGACCCAATCTGCTGAACACACATCTTACCTTCTGCATAATCTTGATACGCTTCAAAGATGGCTTCAATGCCCTGCCACCTAGATGTTGTGGGCTCGTCCTCCTCTGTGTCATCTTCCTCATCCTCAACCTCTTCCTCAGACTCCTCTGTGGAGAGCTCCTGGCGGGAAGGCTGTGGGGGGCAGTGCTGTCCATTGGGCTGCAATGAAGGAGGGTGTGGGTGGGGTTTGGACCGGCCTGGTGTGCTCTGGAGCTCAGGAATGTTATAATGCACAGATGAATCTACTGCGTTGTTCTGTTCTGACATGACCAAGGCACCACCTGATAGAGGAAAAGATGTGTTGATTCTATTAGCTGCTTTTTACACTAAGCCGGACAAGATTGTCAGTTAAAATGAAACCTAATGTACAGTATTTCAATTTATGCAAAATGTTCTCTGGGAATCACACCATGGGTTTTGCATCGCTAATACCATTCTCTAGTGTTTCCCAACCCTGTTGCTGAAGACACAACAACAGTGCACATTTTCAGACCCTTCTGATTCAACTCATTAGCTTATTCCTGATAGAGGAAAAGATGTGTTGATTCTATTAGCTGCTTTTTACACTAAGCCGGACAAGATTGTCAGTTAAAATGAAACCTAATGTACAGTATTTCAATTTATGCAAAATGTTCTCTGGGAATCACACCATGGGTTTTGCATCGCTAATACCATTCTCCATACCAACCAACCCTGTTGCTGAAGACACAACAACGGTGCACATTTTCAGACCCTTCTGATTCAACTCATTAGCTTATTAGTAAAGAGATCAAGACCTGAAATGGATGAGTCCGATAAGGGAGACATCCGTAATGTGTCCCTGTTGGTGTACTTCCAAGAACAGGTTTGAGAAACACTGCTCTACCAGTTGAGCTTAAATTGAGAATCCTAGCATAAATGGCACTACCAGGTATCCTAGAAGGCAGCTTAATAATGTTTCCTACCTTATGCAATAGTCTCTGCATCTATGATCCCTTTAAATGTTGCCTACATAAGAATTTGAAACAAAGCCATTTTCATTGTGTAATGCATAGGCCATTTCTATTTGATTCATTCAGGAAACATTTACGTTTTTCAGTCTTGTGTCTAGCATTTCTGACAGATTATAAGCAAATCGGTATGTACTCACAAGCTACTTATTTGGTATCGATACTTGTAAATAATATCTATATTAAAATTATATTAATACAAAATGTGGGTTTTTGCATGACTTTCAAATGTTTTAAGTACATTTAATACAGTTTGATACATTTGTTATTAATGGCCAGTATGTGTCATTTAGATGTGATTTGTTTTAAATAGAATCACATACATAATCAGTATCAGTATTGTTAAAATTGTATCAAAAAGTATCGAATTTGATCAAATTAAAAAAGTTTGATATCACCCATCCCTAGAAGGTTCTCGCCAGTGGCTGCACAAGCACTGATGACAAAACAGATGATTCACAATTGGCCAGACTGACCAGTCACAGGTGTTTAGCGTTTATTCTAGGTGCATCCCATTTTGTGTAATTATGCACTACTCTAGGCTGTTTTGTAGTATAAATAGTGATTAGTGTGTTTACACTGAAAATTACAAAAAATAAAAAGTGCACTTTAAATACCTGGATGACACTTTTAATTAACCTCATCTCATCCACTTCATCAGTACTGAAATAAGCAAACACTGCACAAGTGTCATTATGGGAAGCAGAAAGTGTCAGACTTGGCGCACCGCTATCAACTTATCAACTTATTATCTGGGCATTTCAAAACGTGAAAATTTCTAGATACCTTGTTTTCTGAATTATTACGACTTTCAGAATGAACATGACCTTCTTTTCCATTGACCAGTTAAATTTTACAACACTGTGTGTTTCTTGTGTAAAAATATTGTCTGCTTTTCACATTGATCTGAACAAAAGCAGCAGATGGGCAGAATAAAAATGCTAATTCACTTTCTGACTGTAGTTGGCGCTTATGGAACAGAAGAAATACAGTTGTTAGAATGGCTACCCTTGTACACAAAGCAGCCCTGTGCAAGTGCAACGAAACATCTGTTTCTGACACCTGTTTGTCATGAAGAAGAATGGAAGCCACAGTATTTACATGTATTCAAACAGCCATTCAGATTTTTGTATTTGCTTTGGCGTTTATTATACATGTAAAAATGCCTTTTTTTCCCCAAACACTTGCTTACACTCACATATTTTTGCATTTTAATCTGTACTGAAACATGCCAGTTCAAAAAATAATATTCTCTATTATTATTATTATTATTATTATTATTCTCTTATAATTTTCAAAACCCAATGGCAGGTGTTTTTGCTTTATTAAAGGATTAATTTCACTAATCTTTGATACATTTCTTTGAGTGGTTAAACGAATGGTCAATAGTAAATTTTAAAATTCTGCTTAAAGGACACCTATTATGCAAAATCTACTTTTACATGATGCTTGAGCATAAATTTGTGTGTGTGAATATAACCACCCTACAATGATAAAAATCCACCCACTCCTTTTTTAATCCCCATTAAACTAAATCACTAGGCATGCTGTTTTGATTCTCTAAGCAATATGACATCACATTGCCACGGGGGCTAACTGGCAATCCTGCATTGCCATAGTTTCCACCTTCAGCGATTGTACACTGTCCTCCATTTTCTCTGCGCATGAGCAGCTGTAATGTCATCAATGTCTTGTAAGCTATCCCAGGTGCTCTGTGTTTAAATGTAAGACTGAACATAAGTCTTCATTTTTTCCCAACATCTGAGCCACTGTGGAATACTTCTATTTTTCAAGGTAATGCACCTAAATACATCTATGTCTGTGCAAATAATTTCACTCCAGACTGCGTTGTGAATGTAGTTATATTTACATTACATTTAGTCATTTAGCAGACGCTTTTATCCAAATGAGGACAATAAAAGCAGTCAAAACTAACAAAAGAGCAACAATATATAAGTGCAAATGACAAGTCTCGGTTAGCCTAACGCAGTACATGTAGCAAGGTGTATATATATATATTATACACACACACATATACACACACATACACAAAGAAAAACAAGTAGATAGAATAGAAAAAATAGAAAGCTAGTGTTTGTTTTTTGTTGTTTTTTTTAAATAAAGAATAAAAAATAAAAAAAGATAAATATAGATAAAGTAGAATTAAAATAGAATAGAAAGTGTTAGAGTTAGAGGGTCAAATAAATGTGGAACAGATGTGTTTTTAGTCGTTTCTTGAAGATGGTTACGGACTCAGCTGCTCGGATTGATTTGGGCAGGTCATTCCACCAGGAGGGAACAGTTAATGAAAAAGTCTGTGAAAGTGATTTTGTGCCTCTTTTAGATGGCACAATAATACGCCGTTCACTTGCACAATGCAAGCTTGTAGAGGGCACATAAGTCTAAAGTAAGGAATTTAGGTAAATGGGTGCAGAGCCAGTGGTGGTTTTGTAGGCAAACATTAATGCCTTGAATTTAATGCGAGCAGCTACTGGTAGCCAGTGCAAATTGATGAACAGAGGTGTGACATGCGTTCTTTTTGGCTCATTAAAGATTAATCTTGCAGCGGCATTTTGGATTAATTGTAGAGGTTTGACAGAAGTGGCTGGAAGACCTGCCAAGAGAGCATTGCAATAGTCCAGCCTGGACAGAACAAGAGCTTGAACAAGGAGTTGTGTTGCATGTTCTGAAAGAAAGAAGTTATAGTGCTTAGCTAACATTTTAACTGTATTTGTATGGGTACGATATCTAAGTATTGTAATTGTCAGCGCCGCGCTTGTAAGATTAGTTCTCTCCTGCAACATTGTGCTGTTGTGCAACAACAGAGAGACCACTATGCCCTCTTCAGAAGAGGGGGTGGGAATATGCAGCTCATTTGCATTTAAAGTGATATTCACAAAAACTGCTCTTTTGTAGACACGCCCCAAAAATGACCTTTTCCAGATGTTATAATAAATGATCTGTGGGGTATTTTGAGCTGAAACTTCACAGACACATTCTGGGGACACCCAAGACAAATATAACATCTTGTAAAAAGGGGCATACTAGGTGGTCTTTAAGTAAACATATCTTTATATTTATGTCTTAAAATATAAATATACTGAGTAAGACAATTTTTTGTGGTATGTCACACACATATAACACGTATGTCGCAGAACACTGGCTGTTTGTGTTCATTCAGATGCAGCTAAATTAAGCTTGTTCAGACTCGTCTTTTGCTGTGAAATCTGATATCTCCCATGCATGATTGTGTGCCCACAAAACACATTTTGTGACATATGTAGCTGCAGATTGATTTGTTCCAATCTAACTTCCCTTCTCTCATGCAACAACATCTCTTCTCTGATGATGTATACACTGGAGCAAGGGACACTCAAATGAGATCGCAGCAATAGCAAACGAGAACAATCCAATCAATTCTCAATAAACAAAATGTCCCACCCTACATTTTTTCTTGTTCAAGAAGTCATTTCACTCAGATATGTCACAAACAGAAAGAAAAGACTATCACAACTTTAATTTTTAATGGTAACTTTAAGTTAGCGGTTAAGTATGTAAGCAATGAAATAACAGAATCTTAAAGAGAATTTGAACTGCTAATTACCTTTACTCTTCTGCAGGGCTTTTTGGGTGGACTGCAGTACTGATTCGTGGAACTGCTGGGCAAACTCCTCAGCAATGAAACTCTCCCAGGGTTTGGTCTTTCCGTTGACATTAACAGAACTTTCTTTAGTGAACGGGGGCTGTCGCACACTGTTCAGTAGACTAGAGCTCTTGCCTGGGATGCTGTCATTGACTCGACATTTGTCAGGTAATGCAGCAGGCAAGGAAGAGTCTTTCAGTCTTAAGGGATCTGAGAGAGATCTGTGCTGATCCAAGTGCGAGAGGGGTTCCGCTTGGGGTTGGGGCACAGACACAGAGGGGGAGGGACTGGGAGGCCGTCCATTCAGCAGCTCATCAGATTGGATTGTAGATGACAGGTCTGCACAATAAATAAATATATAACTACAATAATCTAATGTTTGCAGGTTAGTGTATTCATGAACATAGCAAAACATCAAACAGGCTCTCGACCAGAGTGGACTGAAGGGATTTTGAAGCTATCATGAGGAGTATTTTGTACATCCCTGACAGTGTAACACAGATGCTGTGCATCTCCTGAGGGTCATCCACAGTAAAACACTCATTACATGCTGTGGTAATTAGCTGAGAAAACAGACAGTGATGAACATCTGGAGCTGTCAGCTGCTTTCACACACTGACAACACTCCACACTGTGTGCACACAACGCGACTCACTGCATGGACAAACACACATGTGCACACACACACACACACACACACAGTGTGAACTGACCTGAGCATAGGGCTGCAGGGCTCCTGCACAGCGGGTGAGGGTTGTGTCTGATGCTGTCTAGAGTCACGCTCTTTTGTTTTATGGCCTTCAACAACTTCTCAACCCTCTCATTATCTGAAACACAGGAAGAAAAAAAAAAAGCAAGAAAGACAGACATATATTAATGTTACAGCTTGTGATAGTATATTCTTGTATGTTTGCTGCCAATAGATCTGAGGTGAGAGCAACACTGCTTTACACTTGGTCCTCATCAAGGCTTCTACCACCCCTTGCCAGTCCTGCTTCAAATTGTATAATACGACTCTGAAGTAAGCTCTAGTGTGAAAATGTCCAGATAAAAAAAACAAAACAAAAAAAAACAGAGCATCAATATGAACACAACAGACAGCACGAGTACCTCTTCTCTGCTGCTGAGTGACGTGGTTGAGGCTGAAGATGGTGAGGAAGCATTTCTTTTCCTCTAGTTCAGGGCTGTTGTTCATGTCCTCTGGGGTGAAGCGGGTTATTAGGGGGGCAGGAGTAGGCCGCTTGGTCTGAACAGCTGGCGGGGAAAGACTCCTCTCTCTCAGCATGCGCCTCCTCTTCCTCCTCTTCACCTCCATCATTTCCTCCCGACGGGCCAGAGTCATCAGGTCAAACATCTGCAGAAACTCCACCTTCTGTAGGAAGAGAGGGTTTTTCTCAATAAATACTGATTTACTGGGACAAGGTCATTAGAGTCATAGAAGGAATCATCAAAAATCCAAAAATCTACACAAAGCAGCAATATTTACAAACATTTGATAACTATAGTAGTAATGCATGAGACTGTGGTGATTCACCTCAGCGGAATCATCTAGTTTGAGTGGTGGCTGTTCTGCGACCTTCCTGAGATGAGCTCGCACCTCTTCCTCGTCACTCTCATCATAAGAGTCATCCAGCTCATAGTAATAACCTGAAAAAGATATCACTGAACACTCAACAGCTCTTAGAAATGACCTACAAATTATGTAAGCTTGACCCACTGGATAAAAATGGTACAAATAAAGCCCAAAGAATACTCAATTTTTGACTTAGCATCAAACACTCAGCCTATGAAAATACATTCAAATTGATAATGTGCACAAACCCACTAGAAACTAGAGGTCGACCGAAGTATCAGTTTTGCTGATTAATCGACAGTGATAGTTGATTGCTAGAACTCTCGGCTATTGGCAAAAATCCATGCTGATAGTTTTCTGGGTTGCGTCCATTGCTGGAGTGGCTGAGAAGGGTCTGCTGTCATTATACAGTGCGAGAGCGGCCTCTAGAGGTGGAAAATCACTGACACCTCGTGTTGTTTGTTTTGACACATGAGGCTGTGCAGATGTGGATTTAAAAGCAGCCACGGAAAATCCTGCCATGCCACAGAGCGCCATTCAAAGTTTTCCATTAAATTACATTTGTCCCAAATCGCTGTCAATGTACATAATGACTTCACCACAGGCTGTAAAATTGTGCATTTTCAGTCAAACATTTGTCTTTCTGTGGCTCTAATAAAGTCTGCATGCTTGATATAGAGCAGGGGTGCCCAAACCTGTTCCTGGAGATCTACCTTCCTGCAGAGTTCAGCTCAAACCCTGATCAAACACAACTGAACCAACTAATTAGGATCTGAAGGAGCACTTGATAATTACAGACAGGTTTGCTTGATCAGGGTTGGAACTGAACTCTGCAGGAAGGTATATCTCCAGGAACAGGGTTGGGCACCCCTGATATAGAGAGCTGTAATATAGATCACGCTATCTCTTTCCGTTTGCTCTGTTAATTTAAACACCAAACTTAAAACTCATCTATACTGCTTTATTCATTCTTGAAGTAAACTTTTCCCCATTTGTTAATTTAAATAAACCACTAGACCACTGCCTGAATTGAACGCAACATACACCGGTGTGTGTGTGATAACCTGCTAGTTTATCCTGTTTACACTTGGCATTAACATGCGATCACCGTGATCCGATAAAGCAGATCGGATCATCAGTCAATCAGGACACGGCGCGTTTACACTTGGCAACATGAGCTGACTTCTCTATCTGGAAAACCGATCGGATCTGTCTTTCCCGCGCAATATTTAAATAAGTCTGCAGAGAATGGCCCGTTGCAAAGTCAACCTGAAG